AGGACACAGTGTCTGGGCAGCCCCAGCCCAATCCCGGTTGTCTCCCCTTGGCGTTGCACCAATTCCCGCTTGAAGCAATTCAGATCTCTCCTGCTCTCCACCCATCCTGCCTGTGGAGCCAGACTAGTGGTGCAGGCAGTGGCCAGCACTGCTCTGATCCTGCAAATGCCACTCTGGGCAAGACCTGAAGGCTGCAGGAGCAGGGTGGCATGGAGGGGTGGGCACAAAACCAGTGTGTCTGCACTCCTGGAGATGGGGAACGGGAAGGAACAGTCCTCCCCTTGGGATAGAAGAAATCAGGCTCCCCACAAACAGGAGCTTATTCTTCTTTTTGGTTTTCCTTGTACTTTCCCCGGGGGCTTCCCTTCTTCGATGTGGGTTGTGTTTATCCCGTTGATCACGACTTGTCAGCTCGGGGCCTCTGTGCCCGCTCTGGCTGCTGAAGGATGCTGCCCTGAAGTTTCCTCTTCTGATCTTTTCTCCTCTCACCTTGTGTGCCCCGACCCGAGGCAGCAACCAAATACAACAAGGCTGAGCACCTGACGCTGCGGGACCGCTTCGCGCGCCTCAACACGCACTCCATCGCCAAGAAGACCACACGGCTGAGCCGGCTCTTCATGCACGAGGCCGGCATCGTGGCCAAGGTGGGCAGCCCTGCACCCACGGACCTGCTGCCTCTCCTCGGGTCACTTGTGCGGCTTTCCAAGGAGCCTCTCCAGCGGGATGGGAGAGCGGAGCCGGGTGGGGTGGCCGATGCTGACACCCAGTGGCCCGTGCTGTTATGGGAGCCACAGTCCCATTTTGGAGCAGCTTAAGGGTGCTTCCAGTCCCACATCCCAAGGATAGGAGGTATGCAGGTACACACCTCGCTCCCTGCTTCAGAGCACTGCAGGGGAGCACTTTGCCCCCAAAGGGTTCTTTGGGCATCCTAGCATAAGGAAAGACACCCCAGTGTTCTCCAGCAGCACCGTACCAGAAACCCTGTTACTGCCTGCATCCCGAGCACCCTAGATCTCAGCCCTTTTCAGATTCCTGGAGCCTCTCAGGGTCTCCCCTGCTTGTCCCCAGCACTGTGAGCTTCAGGCAAGATGCTGTTTATGTTGGCATCCAGTGAGTGGCATCTGCTCTGCCAAGGCATTGCCTGGCCTGCCCATGCTGATGCTAAGCTGTCCCTTGCCTTGCAGACTCAGGACAAGGAGTATGATGACCTGGAAGAGAAGTTCCAGTGCGTGGTGTCCACCGTGGCTACACTGAAGGAGAATGTGGCATCCTACCTGGGCCATTTAGAGGTAACCCTTGACCACTTGCAGGGGCTTGGCCCCTTTCAGGCATCAGGACCTGTTTCTTGGGGTTGCAGAATACTTTCAAGCCCTATGGAAACTGATAGCAGTTGGGGATGTTCAGGGATTTGCATCTCTCAGCTGGAGGCTACTGTTGTGCTGGGGACTTACACAACATCCAAGGATTGCTCAGGTCCAGGGGAGCTTAAAACAAAGTTGAGGCTTCATCCACGCAATCTGAGCTGGGTGTCATTTGAGGATCACCCGTCCTTGAACTGATCATTATTTCAATGGGTTAAATAGCTGAAAAGGCCAAGTGTTGTTCAGCCTGGGAATTGCTGTGTTAATTACAGGTATAAGGCAGAAATGTCCCCAGATCAGGCCTAATGACGGACATCCCTTCTGAGATCAACTGGGTCAGTTGCAGAAAAGGCAGGAAGGAGGCTGCTGCCTAGGGTTAACATTAGATCAAAGCCTCTCAAAGAAGAGGTCACCCCCCAGATCATCCCTAGCTGCTTTCCTTTCCCACCAGTCTCACTCTCCTTGCAGAAGTGGGGAGAAGGTTTTGTTCACAAATACAAGAAACTCCAGAGCTGCTGTAGCACTAAACCCATATGCCAAAGCACCAGGCAACATCAAGCTGGGGCATACTGCCTGGGGCAATAGGGCAGCCTTGGTCACCTTGGTTGGAGTAGGAATACTTGAGCAAGTACTGAGCAGTGCGCAGTGCACAACCCGTGCTTGAGGACAGAGGTTGGTTAACACCTGAGCAAGCTCTCTCTCTCTTGCAAACAGGAGAAGCCGAGTGCATCAGTCCCACTGGGCTGCAGAGCACTCAGACTGGGACATTGGCATATCTTTGGGAATACAAGGACAGGTTACAGATGGGTTAGTCAGTGGTGGGCAGCTTCTGCAGGTCATCTCTGATGGCTTTCTCCCTTTCAGGCGTTCCTGTTGCCTACCCCTCACCAGCACGAGCTGCAGATCAGCGAAGGACCTGCCCAGCAGTACCGCCGCTTTGCTGAACACCTCCACTGCACTGTTTTCCCAGAGTTTGTGAGTGCTCCCTCTGCCAAGCACTGCTCTCATACCTCCTACCAGGGCACAGCAGGTAGGGCAGCCAAGAGCTGAGGGGGATGCCAGAGCAGGCACAGTCCCCTGGGGACTGAATATTGCAGGCAGAGGCAGGCAACAAGACCTATCAGCAGCCCCAGACACATGAAGTGAGGAACCAGCTCCAGCACCCATCCAGGAAAGAGGAGGCAGAGCCGGAGACATGGCTACAACACAGCTCTAAAGTCTATCCAGGGCTGGAGACAAGCTGCAATGTCTAGCTGATGGGTTCATCCAGGAGCTGAGCTACGTACAGCAGGGATCCAATGTCTACCCAGGAGACAGATAACAGCATACCCAGAGCAGTAATGGGGAGAAGCAGAATGCCCTTAAACAGGTTGTGAGCAGGGTGGAGGCCCCAGGTGAGGCTGGTTTGGACTATAAAAGGCTGTTTGTGGCTTCAGAGCCCTGTCATGTTCACAGCCAGCCATGCAGGTAGGGCTGCAGTGGAGGACAGGGTGATGGGAAAACCAGGGCTACTGCTTATTTGACTCACACAAGGCATCTGCTGCTAAACCCAATGCTTCGTGGGCATCATGCTTACCTTTGGGAGCCCAAGACACCCCCATCTGTCTCCTCCTACCCCCCCTACCTGCTTGTCCAGGACTCCCTCTAGGGTAGTGTCTGCCCCCTGAATGCCACTGGGGAGGTTTTCCAAGCAATGAGGAGTGTGGCAGGGCAGCCTGAGCCATACATCTGGGTGCCAGCATCCCCAGGGAGTGCCAGCACAAGGAGGGAGGGTAGCTGTGCGGGATAACCACATGGACCCTGGGATAAGGGCCTCTGTCAAACCAGGACGTTACAATCTGCATGGGACAGTCATGGCAGCACCCCTTGGACCTTGGGACTTGGTGCATGAGGGTCCTACCTGATCATTTGCATAGAGTACGCATCTGGAATCATGGCTCGTGTAACTGCTCTCTATCAGGGCTTGCTTTGGCTGGCATCCTGTGTGTCTTGAGGGAGGATACCCCAGATGCTCCCCACTCCACACAAACCCTTCAACAGGTCCCCAGGTCTTTTCTCCTCTATGAGACAGAGCCCCATGCAGGCAGCTGGTCCTGTCTGGGGGCTGACGTGGAGATGTGGGTTCTCTCGCCCCACAGAAGCAGCGTCTGGACAAGCTGGTGTGCCAGCCCCTGTGCAGCCTCTCAGACATGCTGGTGGGGCCGCAGCAGCTGGTGAAGAAGCGCCTGGACAAGCTGCTGGACTACGAGGAGATCCAGGAGCGGAGGAGCGAGATGGGCAGCGTGACATACGACGAGGAGGCTGCCATGAACACCTACCTCGCCATCAATGCGCTGCTCGTGGCCGAGCTTCCGCGGTTCAACCAGGCGGCCCTGCAGCTCCTGGGGCAGATCCTGCGCTCCTTCAGCACCCTGCAATGGGACCTGGCTGCCGAGGTCCTGCACCAGGCAGAAAAGGAGCTGGAGCAGGTGAGAGTGACCCCTCAGTGTGTGTGCTCAAACCGGCACATGTGCTGAGCCAGACCTGCTGCTTCAGGCTTGGGATATCACTTGGACATGAGGGCACTGATTTGCTATAGCTCAAGCCTGCCCGTGCAGACACAGAGGTTCCTGCCTAGCATTTGTAAGCGATCTGTCCTCCCCTTTGTCTGGGGAAAGCCAAATTTTCTCTTCTTCACTGCCAGGAACTGTCCTGCTTTCTCTTTGAGGACACTGTTGTTAATTTATTGATATGCTGCCTGAGAGATCAGTGGTAACTCTGAGCTCCTGAGAGCTCTGTGCCGGGAAGGCAAGGAGAAGGAACATAGCTCCTGGCCTGAGGAATGAGCATCCCTACAGCCTCATCCCCTGGGAGATGTCTCCCAGGACTCCCCACTGCACAGTAGTCTCTAAGCCTGATATTCACAATTGTGGTGGGTCAGGCCAGTCCACAGCCCTGGGATAGAGCATGGCCCTGGCCTGCCCCATGACCAAGACAAAAATAAGATGCAGCCGCATGGAGGCAGCTTTCATACATACCTGGTTGTGAAGGTGGATTCCCCTTGCTCAGTCTGGGATGCTCATGCTGCTGACATCTACCCTGGAGCTACATCTACCCATCTCCGTTTATAGTCAGGTGAGACAGGCTGTGGCCTCAGGGCAGGACAGCAGGACCCAAGGACTGCTCTGGTGAGCTGGGTCCACCCCAAGAGCCCCATGTGTGATGGCCCTGCCCAGGGAAGGTGGCTCAAAGCTATAGAGGAGCAGCTTTGATCCTAGATGCAAGGCGCATCTAGTGGCCAGGTCTGTTCTCTTGCTTTCTCACCCCTTTTCTTCTTGCTTCATCTCTTTTGACGCTTCCAGCAGCTCTTCCCCTACCGGTGCCCTCTCTGATCTCAGTCTGTCTCCACAGATGCCCCATGGCCGCATGCCTCTGCCCAGTTTCTGGAAGATGGTGGAGGACACCCTGCAGCAGTCTGGTGCTCAGCTCCATGTTTTCCAACAGACGTTTGAGACGGTCACGCCGAGCCCTGTGGCACAGGTAGGAGCTGGGAAGGGGATGGCTCAGGCCACATGGATAAAGAAGAGGGACTGTGGCTTCCCAGTGCGGAACACCTGGCTCAGAAAGTGGCATGGGAGGGTCTCCACAACCACAGTATTTCTCCTAAGCCCCTGACAGCAGCGGGCTGGGAATAACCAGGGATGAAACAGTCTCAGCTCTTCTAGGTTTGGACACTCCTCTCCAAACCATGAAGCAGAGCTTCAGGCAAAGGAGTTTCTCTTTTAACCTCCCAATCTGTGATCCTGCAGAAAGCAGAGCATGTGTACCCATGCCTCTGTCTCATCAAGTGCTCCTGTATCTCTTGCTCCCCACCAGCCTCTGAACCCTGCTGAGGAGCGGAAGGTCCTTTCCCTTGTGAGCAAGCACGGCCCAGACAAACTTTACCAAGTGACGAGCAACATCAGTGGCAGCAGAGACTTGGACCTGACCTTGCAAAGAGGACAGATTGTAGCTCTGCTGCAAAGTGTGGATACTAAGGGGAACACGAACAGATGGCTGGTGGATGCTGGAGGTACTGTGAGTGCTATGGGGAGCCTCTCCCTGCTTCAGCACCAGGGTCAGAAACCAAACCCAAACCACTTCTTCATCTTGGGTGAAACAGTGGGCCATTTCCTCCTGGGTCTTCCCCTCCAGGGCTTGCTCAGCCCAAAACCACCTCTGGTTTGCCAGCTATGTCCATAGCCATTAGCAGTGAAGTTCAGGTTTCCCCATTCATTCCCCAGGGGAGCACTCGTGAAGCGTTGTGGCTGGGAAAGGAGAATTGAGAATCCCATGCACACAGAAACATCTTGAAATCCCTTTCTGGGGGGGTTTGCTGCTGGATATCCCCTAGCGATGGACCAGTTTGAGCAGGGCTTCTGTTCTGTGACAGGCAACAGCCAAGTTGTCATTCCTCTCTCCACTAACCAGTCCTACATGTTCCAGCAGCGGGGCCCCATGACCTGTGTGTGTTCGTGTCCTTCAGGTCCCCGAGGGTTTGTGCCTGCTGGAAAACTCCAGCCCTATTGCCCAGCACAAAGCCAGCAGCCTGGGATGCAGATGCTGACCCTGGAGAGCAGCACAGAGAGAAGGAGACATTCGTATGCATCACCTGCAGCTCCCAGGCCCCAGGTGCCCACCTTCACTCCAACCTACCAGGTAAGAGTGGAGACCATTCCTAGCAACCCCACCAGCTCTGTGCTAGTCCCTGTGTGTGCAGGGGGTGAGTGGGAAGGTGAACCTGCTTCTCCAGCACATCCATGGTTATACATGTGCAGTCATGTTCCAAGTAGGGGAGGGTCACAGCCTGACACTGTGTGCCCTGCGAGGCTGGTGTCTGCCTTGCTGGGACCTGGGCATGGACAGAGCTGTGCTTGGTGTGGTCCCCAGTGTCCCTCCATCCATGGCACTGCTACCGCTGCCCTCTCAGGAGTGGCCTCCTGCTCTGCCACATCTGTCCTTTCCCCCTTTCATGTCCAGCAAGGGCTTCCTCCCTCCTTCCACTGCCTTTCGCAGGTGGTCGCTGGCTTCTCCTTCGCAGCCAGGAGCCCGCAGGAGGTGACTCTCCAGGCAGGGCAGCCCGTGGTGGTGCTGGAGCCGCACGACAAGAAGGGGAACAAGGAGTGGAGCCTGGTGGAGGTGAATGGCCAGAGGGGCTACGTGCCATCCAGCTACCTGGTGACTGTCCCCGTGCAGGAGCCCACGGGCTGGAGCTTGCCCGTGTGAACACCCAAGGGCACGGGCTTCACTGGATGAGAGCAGTCTGCTTGGCACCCATCGAGGGAGATGCTGGAGGAGGGCGGCCCCGGGCTGGGAAGATGATGAGGAAGGGCTGGCAGAATCGGGCCCAGGGGACACGGGTGTGAGAGATGGTGGTTGGGAGGCACTTTTTGATGGGTAGGCATGAGGATGCCGTGTCAAATGTGTGTTTACACATAGGAAAGCAGCACGAGGGAGCAAGGGCAGGTGGCTGGTGTTTTCCAGGGGTTTGCTGAAATCCATGTCAGTAACAAGCGTCCCTCAGGGCAATGAGACAGCACTGTCCCCAGTTAGATCAGGACGGAGCTGCAAAGGGTGCAGCAGTGCAGAGCGGTCTTCAGCTCAGTGGGAAGCAACTAGGGCTCTTGGAAAGGGGTTCTTGGGGCAGTGCTGATGTGAGCACAGAGGCTGAGGTGGAGCAGCCCTGGAGACATGGCTCCTGCTCCTCACCAGGCTCTGTGCCTGCCTGGGTGCCCACCCCGATGCGCCGCTGCGGTCCCTTTGTCAGCACAGGCTTCACATCCTGCTGTAAAGGGCACACCAATGCCCCCCTGTGCCTGACCTCACTGTCAGTGATGGGAAGGTGCTGGACTGGGTCCTCCTGAGCCCTCCTGGCCATCCAGCATCACTCCTGGCCTTGGTTTCGCGCTGCAGTGGGGCCCCACTTGGAGCACTGTGCAGAGTTCTCATGTCCCCAACATAAGAAGGACACGGAGCTGTTGGAGCAAGTCCAGAGGAGGCCACAAGGATGATCAGGGGCTGGAGCACCTCCTGTATGAAGACAAGCTTAAAAAACAGGGACTGTTCAGCCTGGAGAAGAGAAGCTGCATGGACACCTCAGAGCAGCCTTCCAGTATCTGAGGGGGCTACAAGGATGCCAGAGAGAGACTCTTCATCAGGGACTGTAGTGATAGGACAAGGGGTGATGGGTTCAAATTTAAACAGGGGAGATTTAGGTTAGATACAAGGAAGAAGCTCTTCCCTGTGAGGACGCTGAGATGCTGGCACAGGGTGCCCCGAGAAGCTGCGGCTGCCCTATCCCTGGCAGTGTTCAAGGCCAGGTTGGACACAGGGACTTGGAGCAACCTGTCCCCTGCCTGTGGCGGGGAGGTTGGAACTGGATGATCTTAAGGTTCTTTCCAACCCAAACCATTCTGTGATGCTGCCGACCCATTTGAGAGGCGCTTCGAGCTGTGGTGATGAGAAGCGCTCCGTGCACCCCCGCTGCTGTTTGGCGGCTGATGCGCTGACATTACACCACCTTACACCGTGGCTCTGC